TGCGTCTTGTTATCTTCGAGGGTAACGGAGATAGGAGAGCGAGACCCAGAGGTAGCTAGGCGAGCTTCCTCAACCACTCGAGGGTGAACGAAATCTCCCTGCGAGCCAGAGTCCCATARAGCGCGGTACACCCTCGTAGATGTCCCTAGGCGAATAGGGATGATGGGTAGGGTGCGATCAGGGTCAGAGAGCAAGGCGAGAAGACGACGCAGGASGTTGATGTGTCTCGTGAGGCGCTCCTGACGAGCCTGCAGAATGCTCAAGTCCAGGAGAGATGACACAACGTCATCGCGAGTCGTCAGCTGAGCGCCACAACGGGCTGTGCGAATGGCGCGACGCGTCGGAAGTCTCAAGCGAGAAGCGCTAAGATGCGGCAGTCTGCTGGGAGGCAGACGGTACCTCGATAGACGATAGGGCAGAGAGAACTGCGTCTATCGTGTCCTGAGGGTCCTCTGGTGGGGTAGCCAAAGGGGCAAACCGCGACTCGGTGGTCGGAAAGCCGGCTACGTGCGAGGCCTCAGGGGCACAGTGCACCGTGGCTAGGTGGATGGGGCTGGCCGGGCGGGGCCGGGGGGGGACTGAGATCGACGCTGACGAGAGATGTCACCGTAGTGCCGATCGAGGGCGGTATGGTATGGACACCGTGAGGAGGTGTGTCCATCTAGGCGCACCGAAGGCAGCCGCGCCGGGCCTCGAGGGCGGCACACTCCTCAGGGGATAGAGCTCCGCGAGGAGGGACATACCCTGCGGAAGGTCTATCTGAGGAACCGTGGGTGTGAGGGCGCCAGCCTGTGCAACCTGACTACGAGCACGACCCATGGCAGACATGGCCATCAGCAAGCGCTCGGCCACCGGAACAGTGTCGTCATCCAAGTGATACTGGATGACGTCTCATAGCTCGATGTCCTCGGGGGCGTCCCCAAGGGTAGGGTCAAACTCGGCCGAGGCGTCCTCGCCGTACTCCAGAGAACTGTAGCACTGAGAGAATGACGCTCCAGGGCGGGTCGGGCGACGAAAACGACCAGCAAACGAGGAGCGACCTCGGGTGGTACCCCGAGACTGAGAGGTGGCGGCTGGCCGCGAAGAGGATGAGGCGACGGAGAAGCGACTGCACATCCTCTGGTACTGACGCGCAGCCTCGTATGCCTGCTCCGCGGAAGAGAATGATCGCCTCCATAGCTCTAGGCGATAGTTAGTCGGCAGGCTGACAAGGAACCGATCGGTGAATGCGGCCTCCGGTAGGAACGTCTCGTCACAAACAAGGCGAGCGTCCTGAAACACCCGGATGTGACGTTCCAGGTCGGCCGGTACAGAGGACTCGGACCATCTGGTCTGGGTGACGCGGTCTAAGGCGTCGGTGGCGTCATGACGAGCGCCGAAACGGTCCTGAAGGAAGGCCGCGAAGTCGGCCAGAGTGGGGACCTCACCCACGCGGAGGCGCTGGGTATAATGATCCTCCCACGCAGTGGAAGGGCTACCTCGCAATTTGGTTGCGAGCACATCGCACCACAACTCCTGACGGGTGGTCGTCATAGAGAGCGTGCGCGTTGCTATTTGCAACCAGCGAGAGACACGGGTTGTGCCATCATACTCGGGAATGTCCGTGGTGCGCACAGGAGGATGTCCACTGTGCTGATGGCGGGGGGAGAGAGATCGAGGCGAGTGCACTRCGRCAGCGTAAGTCGAGGTYGCTGCAGGGGCAGAGGTGGGGGAAGGCTGTGGGCCGTGGCCGCTAGCGGATGGACCAGCAGACGAGGAGGCAACGACCGCGGGCAGCTGTCCCGGAATAGCCAGGTGGGAGGGAAGAGGCTGAGGAGCAGGTCGAGGGAAACGAGCCTGGATCATGGGGACCGAAGGGGTGGTAGAGGAAGAAGGGTGGGCAACCTGTGATGGGTGAGGCTGTCTCAGAGCGAGAATCTCCACCTGAGCCTGCGCAATGGTGGCCTGTAAAGTGGCCACGCGCTGGGTGCGCGGGGTTGGAGGTGGAGGGGGCGGAGCGGGTCTCGCAGTGGGAGGAGGAATCCCAGCCTGGGCGGTACCCTGTTGTGGGGGTGGGGGGACAAAGGCGGGAAGAAGAGGGCGGAACCGTATTGCCGCGACCGGTGCGGGAAGCTGGGAAGCAACACCGGTGTGGGTCAATGAAACTGCTGGGCCTCGAGGCGGTACGTGGACCGCAGCACCTATGGCAGTAGTAGAGACGGTAGGGGCGGCCGTGGCCGGGAGAACTGCCGCAACAGACGGGGTGGTCTGAGCGGCAACATCACTCGCCACTGCTGCGGGGGAGTGCTGGGCCTGGCCCGTAGAGGAGGGGGAACCACGATGTCTCCGACTCTGGAGTCGTGGGGAGCCGGACTCGGAGCCGGTAGGGGATGGGGTATKGGAGCGGTGGGGAGAGTGATGAGGAGAGCCCTTGAGGCGGTTGACGTCAAGGGCAAGCGCATTGATTTGCGCTTGCAACGGTCTAAGCGTACTAAGTTGCGCCTGAATCGCTACGAGGGTGGCATGAAGGTCCATCGTGTCCGCATGGGCCTGACCCTCACCCGCTGGCTGAACGCTCACCTGGGAGGTGGACGGCGCCGCGGTGATCTCCTCAAAGGAACTCCCTTCCATGGTCGGAAGGGAAAGGGAGGTAGAGCTCACGGGGGTGTGTGGGGAGAGGGGCCCGCCGATAAGAGGAAGGGGACCGCGGGAGCGGAGTGAGTATGTGTGAGTCAGCTCACCCCGGATTTGGCGGGTCGCGCGTGAGAAGAACGCGCCAAATCGCTCGAGGGGGGAGGAGCCGTTCGGGTCCAGGGTGCCCGACGGGAGGAGGCGGGAGAGTAGGGGGTTTAGAAGAACCCTAAACCCTAGAAAAACCCTAAGAAAACCCTAACCGGAGTTTAAGTGGTTAGGGGAGGGTAGCGGCGACCTAATCAAGAAAAAGATAATTTGGAACGAGGGGGGGGGGAAGAAAATAGAATAAACAATAAAATTTCAAGATAAAATAAAATAAAAGAATAAATAGAAATAAATAAATAAATAAAATGTAAAGAGTGAGGAGAGAGAGAATATTTATTTTTTTGGAATTTTCGGCAGCATTTTCCCACCCCGCATGGAGTAAAAAATGTGCGAAGAGGACGGAAAGTGCAAGAGGAACACACTAGCTTTCAAAATGCCGCAAATTAAAATTTAAAAAAAAATAAATAAGTTAATAAATAAATAAATAAGGAGGTGGAGGAGAGTGAAGAGAAGCTAAGTTTTGGAATTTTTCAAAATTTTCGGCAGCATTTCGTTGCCCCCATGGGGTCGAAGTGTGCCGTGAAGAAGAAAGAAAAATAAGAAGATTATGCCAGCACTTNTACCCGATGTGATAAGAGCATCATCGAGTAGTACCAGGATCTGTCGGCTCCATTCTATTGGTGGGGAGCAGCACCTGCCGGGAATGGGGCCCGACGTCCCAGAGTACAAGAATGAGAAAAACAAAGAAGGGGAAGGGGGTATCGGCACAGCCCTAGGGCGGTGTCGCATGCGGCAGGGTTTGACGAGGGGCACATTTCAGGCTGTCCTTCCACAGTAATCCGTTCTTCCGGGAGGCGTCGACACCCAATCACAGGAGGGACTACTAGGGGTGGGGTAGCTTGCGATGCCCAAAGCCAAGCCCCTCACTCCCCCCAGAGGAAGGTAAATCGTAGCATGATGCAATTGTTTTATTTTTTTATTCTACCCTATGTTCGCGCCTATCTCCATGCAGCCACCATAACACTTTTGCTTCCAATTCGATCATTTTAGGAACTATTTCGAATTTACGAGTATGTCTAAATGATTTTCTATGGCACACATCTTTCCAAATCTACCTATCTCTATATATGTATTCTGGCTACTTTCCTATGGCACACATCTCTCTATATATGTATTCTAATGGGAGTCTGGGGTCTCACGAGGGCTTACCGTACTAGATCTGGGAAGTTCCCAGTCGAAGGCGTATCGAATCCTATAATGGGCGATAGTATCCGAGCCCCCTGAAAACTCTCTAACGAGTTGAGTCGTTAGACAGGGAAGTGCTCGACAGTGTTTCGCAGTGTCTATGACTAGAAATTTCCATTCATCAACCGGCAAGTGTTTCACCTTTGCCACGAGCGGTTCACTCTCCCTGTCCCTCCTAACACAGGCTCTCGGTTGACACACAATCCTCACCCACAAAAAGATTCCTTGCCTCACTATCAGGCCCTGGTCTCTAATCGTTGTATACTTGCTCTTCCCCTACAACGGCAAGCTTACGACATCAAGCGATCCTGTCTCTCCTCTGAGATGGACTTGGGTCTATGACTCAATAAATATCATTCCTAATCAAGAATCAAATAACCCCTCTCAATGTATGGCCCTGTGCCCACTCTGAGACTGATGAGGTCACAGACCCACGCGATAGGCCCCCGTTGAACGCTCTTATAACCCCTCAAGGCCTAGGAGAGAACCGCTCTTTGGCGTATCTCTACCTAACCTCATGTCTAGATGGAGGATTGTTCACCATACCATCATCGCTGGCCTTCCATCTTCGTCGTGATCTGGATACGAGCTGGCCAACTCATGTATCTCAGGGTGGACCGAAGTCACACGCGAACGAAGTGGCGGTGTCTCACTCATGCAACCTTACTCCCACCCATGCCTCTACTCGGCCCACCTCAAGCATGGTCTCACCCCGACAAGTGTTGTGAATCGTTCGCATGTGACTTCGGTCCACCCTGAGACACATGAGTTGGCCAGCTCGTGTCCAGATCATGGCGGATATGGAAGGCCTGCGATGATGGTATGTTGAACAATCCTCCATCTAGACATGAGGTTAGGTAGAGATACGCCAGAGGGGGGCCTTGAGGGGTTATAGGAGCGTTCGACGGGGGCCTATCGCGTGGGTCTGTGACCGCATCAGTCTAAGAGTGGGCACAGGGCCATACATTGAGAGGGGTTATTTGATTCTTGATTAGGAATGATATTTATTGAGTCATAGACCCAAGTCCATCTCATAGGAGAGACAGGATCGCTTGATGTCGTAAGCTTGCCGCTGTAGGGGAAGAGCAAGTATACAACGATTAAAGACCAGGGGCCTGTGTTAGGAGGGACAGGGACAGTGAACCGCTCGTGGCAAAGGTGAAAATTAGAATTCACTTGCCGGTTGATGAATGGAAATTTCTAGTCATAGATGCTGGCATCAGGATCGACTAGCCTACCTACTCCCTTTCCCAACTCCTTGCGATCCGGGGAACTTCTCCCCTCCCCTTCAATCCCTCCAATTCTTCCCCTGCTCACGATTTTCTCTCTTGGAAACCAATCGGGGTAAACTGCCCAAAGGGTGGGGAAGGATCATAATAATCACTCCCAATTACAAGGATATGCAAGAGGGAAGTATAGAAACTCATGCAATGTAAGAACTGACGTATCACCGAGGACGTTGCAACAGGTTGGTCGTCCGCTGTCCGCTCGCTGGCGTCCGGGCCACACCTGCACACACCAAGGACATATTACGGTGTCAGTGTTGAAGGAAACAACCCCGACACCTACACCTATAGCGCCGCTGCGGTTACAGGCGGACCAAAGTCCTGAGAGGCATCCCTCCCGTCAACGACGCCAATGTCGACCTTGGGAAGGGATCTGCTGGCACGCCGGACCAACCCTTAAGTCTCCCCGTGTCTATCACCCACGAGAGGGTTGTCCACGACTCCTGCAACCTGCAAAGATCCAACTTAGTTAATACCACAAATTCAAGTTAGACGCATAAGCGGGCTGATAGCAAAAGGAAAACGAAGTCAAGCTGTCGGGAGAAATAAAATAAATGTTTTATTTAGTCCAGAACAATAGGACATGCCGCGCAACTACCAGCCCCGAGAACAGGGCTGATGTCTGAATCCGAAAAATCTGTTTGGGTTCCGATGGTTCTCACTAGTAGCCTCGAACGGATTCTGCGACCCACGAGGTGTCGTCTGTAGCAGGCCTGTTGGTTCCAACGCACCGTGCTTGAGCTCTCAGTGTCTAACGCGTTGTGGCGGGTCCATTGAGGACAGAGTTTGAGTTCCAATTTTACCATGCCTTTCTTCCAGGTCCCAACCTTCGAGCAGGATAAGCTTGCTTCAGATATGCTCGAACGGAATAAGTGAGTGCTCGACCCTTGCGCAGAGATAGGCCCAGCCCTGGTTTGACTGAGTGGGTTAAGTGGACCCTCCCCCTGTAGAACTGGTCTTGGTCCTAATCCGAGTGATTGGAATAAATTACGTCCCGAGATCGCTTGTCGAATTTAGTCTCGTTCCTTGTGGTGGAAACAAAGTCTGCCCCCGACTTCCGTTCCAATTTGGCTGGACCTGGATCACTTGTAGATTAGTCTCAGTGACTGTCGAACTTGGCCCGGTTCGCTCGTCGAAAAAGCCTTAATGAAATAAAGCCCGCCTTGCGGAGTAGGTCCCGGTACCAATCTGGCCAATGGGAACTACGTCCTGCCTTGTTCGGGGCTCGACCTATCGATCTCAGTCCTAGGCTCGATCCTGGCCCCGATCCAGTCCGAAGTTTTGGTCTCAGGTCAAAGGTCGCTGCCCTGGTCTCATTCCAGGCTCGAGCTGCGTGTCGACCCCAATCCTGCGCCCCAATCTTGGTTCCGTTGCGGAACGTGAACCGGATCCAGATGATGTGTGACGGACCCGCCGGGATGGCGGTCCGTCAGGATCAAGACGAAGGGATGAGGATGGGGGAGATGGAGATGGAGCTGGAAGGGACAGCGCAGCTCCAACGCAGACTCAACACGCACGTACTCCAATCTGTGCCAATGAAGAAAGCCACAAAAAAGACTGCAACTGCGGTATACCCCCTGCGGATTGACTGGACTGGACTGGACCGGCCTGGTACCGACAGTGGTACCGGGCAGGACTGGACTGGACTGAATAACCGCACGACCTGTGGGGTCAGGCCACGACCTGGTCCCACAGGCCGGACTGGCAAATAGCCAAATAGGCCTTGGCTGTGGGCCAGGGAAGATGAAGGCCCGCTGCATGATGTGTGCTGCCTGGTGCACCCGTCTTTCCGCTAGAGAGATCGGTTGGCTGACTCGCGATTCTCCGCTGGTGCGGGTAGTCGATGCGGGGTTAGCTCCCTCGCGGCTCCATTGTGATCCGCTCGGTCACGCTCGCGACTCACCGGTTCCCGGTTATGATCTACTTGCTCTCGCAGAAGGTCTGCTCGCTCGTAACGACAATCTTGCCCATCTATGATAATCCCGCTCGTGGCAGTGATCAGCTTGGTCACGATGGCGCCCACAAACCCACGCGGAGGGTGCTTGCGATGAGGGTGACCCCACTCGTGACGATGATTAGCGTAGGCAATGATATGTTTAGGTGGGACGTGAAGCTTGACTTTCCGCGAGGGGACTAGTCTTTCTCCTTGCAAGTTCGTCCCTTTTCGAACTGATTGGCCCTTCCCGCTCGCGAATTCATTATGTCGTGCAGTGATTGGCCTATGACAATGTAGGCTTGATTTCCCTTCCCGATGCCTCGTTCTTTCCCGTAATGTTTCGGTTGAAGATTAGAGCAGCCGTTTCTCTTATCGCGCGGTTTCGGGATTCTCTACCTTGCACCCGCATGATTAGCACTCCCCTACTGGAGCGATCATGCATACACGCAGTACCTTTAGGATATGCACGCCTTAGTTTAGTTCGCGTGCAGTCGTTTCCCTCGCTTGTAAGTCGGTTCACACTGTCTTG